CAGGCACAGTCAGCCCATTGTATGCTAATCAAGGTGGTCAATTGAAAAGATTCACACCTAGCCCAACTTACAAAAGCCTTTTGTCTCACCCTGGTCTTTCCACAGATATATAAACCCCTTTTTTCCCAGCTCCAGCAGACCTCACCTCTGAGGAAGCTTGCCATAGATGCAGGCGAAACGTCAGGAGAAATGCCTCTAGAACATGGCCATAGAGCCCGAAAAAACCCACAAGAACTGAGTGATTCCGGCCATGAAAGCCTTCGACAAAAAAAAAAAAAAAAAAAAAAAAAAAAAAAAAAAAAAAAAAAAAAAAGAAAGAAAAAAAAAAAAAAAAAAAAAAAAAGAACTGAGTGATTCCGGCCATGAAAGCCTTCGACAATACAATGATGATGATGATGATGGTAGGGTACTTACCTCTTTGTATGGCTTGGCCGGAGGCCCCCCTTGGCCTGTGTATTGGGATTTGTAGGACGTCTCGTAGTAATAACGGCCATCACCTTTCAGGGCGGAGTCTTCCCCTGCCAGGGAAGGAGGAAAAGCACTCTGTGCATGCTCAGGCACCCTTTGTCCTTGCAACAAGCCCCAGGTATATGCTCAGACACCCTTTGCACTTTCAACAAGGCCCAGTCCATAGCACATTGTATACCATCAGACACCCTTTGCTTTTGCAATAGCGCTAAGAGGCTGTAGCACTCTGTGCATGCTCTGGCGCCTTGTTGGGAGGGCAAAGGGTGCCTCGGCACGCACAGAAGACCCAGACCATAGCACTAAGGGGCTGTAACCACAAGGGCCCTGAGCATGTATAGAGTGCCACGGCTTCTTAGTGCTCCTGCCTGGGCCTTTATTGCAAGGGCAAAGGATGTCTGAGCATGTGCAGAGTGCAGCTGCCTCTTAATGCTATGGGATTGGTACCCTTTGCCCTTGCGATAAAGGCCCAGGCAGATGCATTAAGAGGCCGTGGCACTCTGTACATGCTCAGACACCCTTTGCCTTTACAACAAGGCACAGGAAGTAGCACTTTTAGTGCTACTGGCTAGGCCTTATTGGAAGAGCAAAGCTTATCTGAGCATGTGCAGAGTGCTACTGCCTGGGCTGTGTTGTAAAGGCAAATGGTGTCAGAGCATTTCTACAGCCTCTTAGTGCTGCTACGTGAGCCTTGTTGTAAGGGCAAAGGGTGTCTGAGCATGTGCAGAATGCTACAGCCTCTTAGGGCCATTATCTGGGCCTTTATTACAAGGGCAAAGGGCACCTGAGCATGCACAGAGTGCTACCACCTCTTCGTGCCTTGTTCTAAGGGCAAAGGGAGTCTGAGCATGTATAGAAATCCTGGGCCATAGCACTCTACGTATGCTCAGACATCCTTTGCCTTTACAAGGCCCAGGAAGTAGCACTCTGTGCATGCTCAGGCGCCCTTTGCTCTTCTAATAAAGGCCCAGGCAGTAGGCCTAAGAGGCAACAGCACTCTGTGCATGCTCAGATGTATTGTTAGGAGGGTCAAGAGTACCTAAGCATTCACAGAGGACACAGACAGTAGCACTAAGAGGCCGCAGAATTTTGGGCAAGCTCAGGCACCCTTTGCAATGAAGCCTAGGCAATAACATTAAGAGGTTGTGGCACTCTGTGCATGGTCAGGTACTGTTTGCCCTGGAAATAAAGGCCCAGATAATATCACTAAAAGGCCATAGCACTCTGCACATGCTCAGGCTCCTTGTTGGAAGGGCAAAGGGGGCCTGAGCATGTACAGAAGGACCAGGCCACAGCCCTTTGACCTTGCAACAAAGGCCCAGATAGGAACAATAATCGGCCATAGCACTCTGCACATGCTCAGATGCCTTGGTGAAAGGGCAAAGGCTGCCTGAGCATGCACAGAAGGCCCAGGCCATAGCCTTTTGCCCTTGCAACAAAGGCCCAGGCAATAGCCCTAAGAGGCCACAGCACGCTGCACATGCAAGGCCTAGGAAGTAGCACACTGTGCATGCTCAGACACTCTTTGCCCTTACAAAGAGGTCCAGGCAATAACACTAAGAGGTCATAACACTCTGTGCATGCTCAGGTACCGTTTGCTCTTGCAACAAAGGCCCAGATAAGAGCACTAAGAGGCCATAGCACTCTGCACATGCTCAGGTGCCTTGTTGAAAGGGCAAAAGGCGCCTGAGCATGCACAGAAGGGCCAGGCCATAGCCCTCTGACCTTGCAATAAAGGGCAAGGGAATAATCCTAAGAGACCGCAGCACTCTGCACATGCAAGGCCTAGGAAGTATCAGTCTGTGCATGCTCAGGCACCCTTTGCCATTGCAATAAAGGTCCAGATAATGTCTCTAATAGGCCGTGACACTGAATGAGGATGGAGGGCTTGTAGGACGCACCGAGATGCAGGGAGGGGGCCTTGGTGGGGGCCTCGGCCCCTGGGTGTTCCCGGAAGGATTCCTGGGTGAGGGAGGGGGGCAGGGGCAGCTTCTCCTTGTCCCCCCTGGGCAGGCTGTCCTCCCACTTGTCCACCTTCCTCTGCACAGGAGCGGGCCAGGGCTCTGAGTAGGGGCAGGGGTAACTCCAATGGGTCAAGGAGTCTGGAGTGGGCAGCAAGGGGTCGGCATGCATCCAGGGTTGAGTGACCGGCAGGCGGATCTCCGGCCGGGGCTGGACTGGCCGCGGGGGGAAAGAGAGGACAGCCTGGGACTGGGTGTCCCATGGAGGGCCCATGTCCTGGTTCAGGACGTCCACCGAGGGGGGCAGCCTGGCTGGGGGCGGGCGAAAGGTCCCCCAGCGCGGGGGGAAGTCCTCCCGGAAGCGGGAGGTTAAGGAGGAAGGGAAGCCCCCTGGGCGGAGGTCATGGCCCAAGCGGAAGTGGGAGGCCCGCAAGAAGGCCTCCATGGGCAGCGGGGACGGGACCTGGGCCATCGGGGGTCAAACTGTCAAGGCAAATCTCTGCAATTGGGAATCGGGGTAGCCTGGGACCTTCGGGGTCAAGAGGGCAGCCTCTTCAGTCAGGGGTCAAGATGAGGGTCTCTGAGGTCAGGGATCAAGATGGTGATCTATGAAGTCAGGGGTCAAGATGGGGGTCTCTGAGGTCAGGGATCAAGATGTGGGTCTATGAAGTCAAGGGTCTAGATGGGGATCTCTGAGGTCAGGGGTCAAGATGGGGGTCTCTGCAGACGGGTCAAGATGGGGCTATATGAGGTCAGGGATCAAGATGTGGGTCTATGAAGTCAGGGGTCTAGATGGGGGCCTCTGAGGCTAGGGGTCAAGATGGGGGTCTCTGCAGACAGGGGTCAAGATGGGGCTATATAAGGCTGGGGGTCTCTGAGGTCAGAGATCAAAGATGGGGGTCTATGAAGTCAGGGGTCAATATAGGGGTCTGTGAGGTCAGGGATCAAGATGGGAATCTCTGAGGCCAGGGGTCAAGATGGGTGTCTCTGAGGTCAGGTGTCAAGATGGGGGTCTCTAAGGTTAGGGGTCAAGATGGGGGTCTATGACATCAGGGGTCAAGATAGTCATCTACTAAGTTAGGGATCCCAAGGTGGTCTGAGGTCAGGGGTCAAGGTGGTGGCCCTTGAAGCTGAGGGTCCCAATGGTGGTCTTTCTTCATTCTACGGTGACCGCGGATGGAATGTGACCTCATCGCCGAAGACTGTGACGTCATCGATCAGGCAGCCAATCCAAGTGGGTTTCTTAGGCCAAAGGCAACTGAAGGCACATTCCTGCTCTGCCCCAAAGATGCCATAACATGGAGAAGGTGGGACGAACCCCACTGGGCTTGCCAGGCCTATATGCAACCCAGGAATGGGATGTTTTGTGAATGCAGGCTGCCTGCCTCTCCGGTCAAGGGGCCGGCTGGAGAGATGTTTACCCACAATGTCCCGTGACCAGTATCAATCCGGCCAAACAAAGGCTGCAGTGTTACCCGGTCCGAGTCCCAAGCGGTGCTGGTCAGCAGGAGGCTGGTGGGGGGCAAGAAGCCATTGTAAGAAAAGTGGGAGAGGAATCGATACAATAAAGTCCAAGTATGTATGTGTGTTGGCCTCCTGCCTGCCTGTACCACTAATGCTAGGTGAAGTGGCCACCTGTGATGCTGCAGAGATGTGTCTGTTGTTGGGTGAAGTGGCCCTCTCTGATGTCACAGGAATTGTCTGAAATGGCCCCATGCGATGTTGCAGGATTCTGCCTGTTGCTGGGTGAGGTGGCCCTCTGTTATTTTTGATAGGTGAGGTGGCCCTCTGTGGTGGTTGCGGGGCTTTGCCTGTTGCTGGGTGAAATGATGCTCTGTGATTGTTGTGGAGTGAAGTGGACCTCTGTAATGCTGCAGGGTTTTTGCCTGTTGCTGGGTGAAGTGTCCCTCTATCATGGTTGCTGAGCCCCCGGTGGCGCAGTGGGTTAAAGCACTGTGACGGCAGGACTGAAGATCGACAGGTCGCAGGTTCGAATCCGGGGAGAGGCGGTTGAGCTCCCTCTATCAGCTCCAGCTCCTCATGCGGGGACATGAGAGAAGCCTCCCACAAGGATGATAAAACATCAAAAATCATCCAGGCGTCCCCTGGGCAACGTCCTTGCAGACGGCCAATTTTCTCACAACAGGAGCGGTTGCTCCTGACACGACAAAAAAAAAAATCATGGTTGCTAGGTGAAGTGGCCCCATGTGTTGTTATGGGTTTTGCGTGTTGCTGGGTGAGGCGGCCCTCTGTGATTGTTGCCAGGTGATGTGGCTCTATGTCATGCTGTGGGGTTTTTTGGGGGGTTTTTTTGCCTGTTGCTGGACTGCAGCCCTCTGTGATGGCTGTTAGGTAAAGTGGCCCTCCATGATGTTGTGTTACCTGTTGCCTGGTGAAGTGCCCCCTTGTGAGGTTCTGGGATGTGTGTGTTGCTAGGTGGAATGGGCCCCTATGAAGTCACTGGGACGGAAAGGGAAACAGGATGGCGGAGGGAATCTACCTCCCACTGTTTCCCAAGCCTGGAAACCACAAAGGCATGAAAACACCAGTATGAAGCTCTTCCTCTCAGCCAAGCTGGCCCATTCAGGCCTGCATTTCCTCACTCCCGTTTCCCTCTCGTCTTTTATTGGGTGAGTTTCACATGTGTGAAGCATTAAAAACACTCCACAAATCATCCTTCTCCTCCTCGTCATAAAATAAACCAACAACAAGGGGGTGAGGTCCGTCTCGCAGCCCCTAGGGACTGATAATCCAGTGGTGGGGAGTTCCACAGGCCGGGAGAAGCATTGGCGGATCGTCAGCCAAGGTCTGCTTGGGGCCCCTCATGGCCCGTGTGGGTGGGCCCTTCTTCCTCTTCCTCGGTGGGCCCCAGGAGGAGCAGGCCTTGGGACTTGTACTCCGGGGGAGGGGGGACCTCCGTGGGGGGAAGCAGGGTCTCTTCCTGGGGGGGCACCTTCTCCAAGGGCCCCCCCTCTTCTCCTCCTCCTTCTCCTTCTTCCACCACCAGCAAGGGCTCCGAGGGGTCACCTGACTCCGAGGGCAGCAACAAGGGAAGGAGGTGCATCTGGGGGAAGGAAAATAATAATAATAATAATAATAATCATCATCATCATCATCATCATCATCATCATCATCATCATCATCCCCCCATCGGGTGCCGCCTTGTTGTCGGAGGGGGGCTTAACTGCTTCTATGATGTTGAGAGCTGTGCTGGCGGTAGTGTAAACTGTCAGGATTAATTTAGTTATGTATGTGTTTTAAATGTGCTTCTATGTATTGCAAATATGGATGCCACTGTGAATTAGAAATGCTGTGCAGAATGTTTATTCTATGAGGCTGTGATTAAGTGAACTTGAGAAAAGTAAGATAAGGTTTGCTCTTGCTGGGAACAGAAGGGAGTAACCAGTCTCAGCAAGAGAAGATAAGCAGATGTGAAGAGGTTTTCGTTTTGACTAGTTGTAGCTCGCTATAGTAAGACGTGTCTGTTGAATGTGCTTAGTAAACAGAGGCGGCCCTAGGTAATTTTCAACGGTAAGCAAACAGTATTTGCCCCCCCCCCCCAACCAATCATTGATATATATTTTCTGTTTGTCGTGGGAGTTCTGTGTGCCATATTTGGTTCAGTGCCATCATTGGTGGAGTTCAGAATGCTCTTTGAGTGTAGGTGAACTATACATCCCAGTAATAGTTCACCTTGCCACATTTGCTCCCTTGCCTGGCCCGCTTTGGGTCCGGAGGCGTGCCTGAAGACCGTGTGCACCAAAAGTCACCTCTTCTCCTGACTTTCTCCTCAGCCATTGGGACCGAGAGAGAGAGAGAGAGAGAGAGAGAGAGAGGTGGAGATGCCCGCGTTCGATCCCTTCCCCATGACCTGAAGGTAATTTCCTGAAGGTAGGCGCAAAAACAAAGGAGGGAGCGGAGGTGGGAGATACCTCCAGCCGGAGGGACTCTCTCTCTCTCTCTCTCTCTCTCACTTGGTCCCAATGGCTGAAGAGAAAGTCAGGAGAAGAGGCGACTTTTGGTGAGCACGCTGGGGTCTTCAGGCACGCCTCCGGACCCGAAGCGGGCCAGGCGTGGTCCGCCCCTTGGCCCACCTGCGGATTGGGGAGAGGAGAGGAGGCGGGTGGAGCGCCGGGGGATCGGGAAAGGGAGCCGGTTATGGGGAAGGGATCGAACACGGAGAACGATTGAGCGCTGGCTCTGCTCGCGCACCCGGTGGCCGGGTGGAGCAGGAACGAGAGGGGCTAGGCGAGGCTCAAGGGCCCTGCCCCTTTGGGAAGAAGATCGCCCGGCAGCGAGGCAAGAAAGCCGAGGCTCCCCCCGGACTGCTAGGGCTGTTGTGAGCTGAGGGGGCGCTCCTCAAGTGGCGGTCGAGGGGCATTTACAGAAGCGCCTCTGCACCCCTGGCAAAAAAAGTGTTCTGCGACCGCTTACTTCGCGTAATGGACAAGCCACCCCAGCGATGTATAAATATGTGAGAGGAAGCCACAGGGAGGAGGGAGCAAGCTTGTTTTCTGCTTCCCTGGAGACTAGGACGCGGAACAATGGCTTCAAACTACAAGAAAGGAGATTCCATCTGAACATGAGGAAGAACTTCCTGACTGTGAGAACCGTTCAGCAGTGGAACTCTCTGCCCTGGAGTGTGGTGGAGGCTATATATATATATATATATATATATATATATATATATATAGTGAATTTTTAAGTATATAAAAAGTGGTGGAACAATTGGGTTGGGATAGGAAAGTGCAGAAGAAAGAAAAGATAGGGAGGCCCGTAGAGTAGGGCTTCCCTACAAACAAACAAACAAAAATGGGGAAAGGAAGGGGGAGAATATACCTCACTCTCTCACCCTCACACACACTCATTTGCTCGACACATTCATGGGAAGGGGATTCCGTCCGTTTTGTAAGGCACTTCCAAGTTGTCCAGGGGTGGTTCATATTCTTCACCTTCTTGAGACTATTGTCTTTTCTTCTTGTGGAGAGAATGAAGTCCGATTATTATTTAAGTTTTACCTTATTTTATTAAGCCAACAATTTTTTTTTCTTTACCGGGAAGTTTGTCTAATAGTATTATCGTTGATATTGTTATTATTATTCTTATTAGTATTTTACATTTTTATTTATTTTTTATTTTATTATTAATATTATTATTTATGTTTTAATTGTTATTGTTATTACTAGTTATTCCTTTTTAACCTCCTCTAAGTATTGGAGGAAGTTACTCCAGTTTGTTGTTTTAGTCGTGTTACTCTTTTGGGATCTTCTTTGAGTGTAGCTACATACATTAAAGAAAGTTTAATATCCAGTCTAGCCTTTAAAGATGACGATGGGAGAATACTAGGAGTTTTGGTTAATATGAACGGTCTTAAAATTTTAATCTGCAATATATATGCGCCCAATGGGGGCAAAGGAAAATTTATCCAGAAATTAAAAGGGTATATCCTTGGAAGCTTTTAAACAGAGGCTGGATGGCCGGCCATCTGTCAGGGGTGCTTTGAATGCAATATTCCTGCTTTTGGCAGAATGGGGTTGGACTGGATGGCCCATGAGGTCCCTTCCAACTCTGTGATTCTATGATTCTTTGGTATTGCCCCAGCTTTTGGGGAAAGCTTTTGGCTCTTTGGGACTTTGGTTTTGATCTTGGTTTGAGCCTGAGCTTTCTGAGCCTGAGTTTCCTCAGGACAAGGAGGATGATGGGTTACACAGTGTTTCTCAACCTTCCTAATGCCGTGACCCCTTAAAACAGTGCCTCGTGTTGTGGTGACCCCCCAACCAAAAATTATTATCGTTACTACTTCCTAATAGTAATTGTGTTACTGTTATGAATCATAATAGAAATATCTGAAATGCAAGATGAATTTTCATGCACTAGACCAAATTTGGCACAAATACCCAATAACTGAGCTCCATGCAGTCATGTTGGCTTTGGAGGTGTCTATGGACAACACCAGCTCTTCGGAGTAGAAATTGAGCACCAACTCCCAGTCTTGGACATGACTGGACTCAATGTCAGGGGAAAACTTTTACCTTACCTTACCCAATATGCCAAATTTCAATACTGGTGGGGTTGGATTTGATTTTGCCATTTGGGAGTTGTAGTTACTGTGATTTATAGTTCACCTACAATCAAAGAGCATTCTGAACCCCACCAATGATGGAATTGAACCAAACTTGGCACACAGAACTCCCATGACCAACAGAAAATACTGGAAGGGTTTGGTGGGCATTGACCTTGAGTTCTGGAGTTGTAGTTCTCTGCATCCAGAGAGCACTATGGACTCAAACAATGATAGATCTGGATCAAACTTGGCACGGATACTCAATATGCCCAAATGTGAACACTGGTGGAATTTGGGGAAAGCTTGACATTTGGGAGTTGCTGCTGGGATTTATAGTTCACCTACAATCAAAGAGCGCTCTGAATCACACCACCGATAGAAATGGGCCAAATGTCCCACACAGAACCCCCATAACCAACAGAAAATACTGGAGGGATTTTGGATGAACTGACAGTGATTTAGGGGAGATGTAGTTCACCTACATCTAGAGAACACTGTGAACCCAAACGACTATGCCAAAAGGATTCTTAAGACCATCAGAAATATGTGTCTTCTAATGGGCTTTGGTGACCCCTCTGAAACCCTCTCGTGACCCCTCCAGGGGTCCCGACCCCCAGGTTGAGAAACACTGGGTTACAGATTTCTGAACATGTGCCTTTCCAGAATAGGAAACTCCAGCATTATGTCCCGGAAGCACTTTATTAGAGTTTTAAGAGTCTCTGCACATTGCACTGACCCCGAAATCCGACATCCCACCTGTCACACGCAGCACTTTTTCATCTGTACCCATTACTTGGCCCGGCCCTCGTTTCATTGTGCTATGGTGTATTGTTTTGTTGTTTTATTGTTTTGCTTTAATGTTTTTGATTTTGCTTTTGGTTGTATTTGCTATGCTACTGTTGTTGAGGCCTTGGCCTTTGTAAGCCGCATCGAGTCCTTCGGGAGATGCTCGCAGGGTACAAATAAAGATAATAATAATAGTAATAATAATACTTTATCCCAGATTAATTCTTTCCCTATTATGTCCTCCATTACCGTCCTTATTTTACCATAATAGTTCTGAATTTTGATACAATCCCACCACATGTGGGAGAATGAGCCGACCCCCCCACAGTTGTGCCAACATTTGTTTGAGACATTTCCCATAATGTGTGCTAATTGGGTGGGAGTTGTATACCATTTGGAGATGATTTGGGCTTCTTGGATCCTCAAAAGTTTATTTTTAGTAATATTGTCAATCCAAGACCCAATTAATTTCTCATTGAAGCTTTCCTCTTGTTTCCAATTTTCTACAAGGGTTGTTTTTGTTTTGTAAGTTAAGTGATTGATTCCTCATAGAGTAGCCCAATAATCCCTTTGTCTATTTCTACTTTCCTTTTTTAATGATTCTGTCAAGTGGCGTTTCTGCTACTTCTCTTCTTTTCATGGCCTGAGCTTTGCTGGACAGGTCTAGCCACGCTATTCAGTTTCCATGACCACATTTGTCTTTTATCTTACCCCACTTTTGATTTCTCCATTGGGTCCCATGAGGTCCCCAATCCTTTTGATTCCAATGTCCTTAAGTGCCCTAATTATATCCCTGAATGTCTTGTCCTTATTTTCCAAGGTTTCCCATGGGAAAGGGTTGCTTTTGTTTATTTGTAATTTATTGTGCCATTTTCCCCAAATTAGCAACGTTGATAAACAGGGGCCGACTTTTAAGTTCTTTAAGTCTTTTCTGTCTATTCTTTCTCTTTTACGTTCCCCTTTGCCAACTGTTTGCCGGGTGGAGCAGGAACGAGAGGGGCGAGGCGAGGCTCAAGGGCCCGGCCCCTTTGGGAAGAGGATCGCCCGGCAGCGAGACAAGAAAGCAGAGGCTCCCCCCGGACTGCGCCCTGGCAAAAAAAAAGTGTTCTGCAACCGCTTACTTCGCGTAATGGACACGCCGCCCCTGTTAGTAAACTTAGTTTCTTTTGTAACTCAAAACCTGCAGAGTCCTTATTCAGTGTCTGCTGATCTAGCAATCCTTCCGCTGGGCATCGTCTGACTCTGACATAAACTACCAGCAGGTTCAACCAAGCCAGAGTGGTCTCAACTGAGAAGTAGAATTAAGGGCACCCAACCCATTTAAATATGGTGAAACAAACTCTAACAAAGTATATTCTGCCTCGATCATCGTGCTTGCTCCATCCATGTTCAACATCTACCCAAATGACCAGCCACTGCCAGAAGGGACAGAGAGTTTCATCTATGCTGATGATCGTGCCATTACCACTCAAGCAGGGAGCTTTGAGATGGTAGAACAGAAGCTCTCCGAAGCTCTAGGTGCTCTTACTGCCTATTACAGGGAAAACCAACTGATCCCTAATCCATCTAAAACACAGACATGCGCCTTTCACCTTAAGAATAGACAAGCATCCCGAGCTCTGAGGATTACCTGGGAAGGAATCCCACTGGAGCATTGCAACACACCCAAATACCTGGGAGTCACTTTGGACCGTGCTCTGACCTACAAGAAGCACTGCCTGAACATCAAGCAAAAAGTGGGTGCTAGAAACAATATCATACGAAAGCTGACTGGCACAACCTGGGGATCACAACCAGACACATTGAAGACATCTGCCCTTGCGCTATGCTACTCTGCTGCTGATTATGCATGCCCAGTGTGGAACACATCTCACCACTAAAACAGTGGATGTGGCTCTTAATGAGACATGCCGCATTATCACGGGGTGTCTGCGCCCTACACCACTGGAGAAATTACACTGCTTAGCCGGTATTGCACCACCTGACATCCGCCGGGAAGTAGCAGCCAATAGTGAAAGGACCAAGGCAGAGACATCTCCAGCTCATACCCTGTTTGGGTATCAGCCAGCACATCAACGACTTAAATCAAGATATAGTTTTCTTAGATCTACAGAGACACTCGCTGGAACACCCCAGCAAGCGAGAGTCCAAAAGTGGCAGGCCCAAACCCAGCACCTCAATTCATGGGTGATACCAGATGAGAGACTCCCCCTGGGCACACAGAAGACTGGCCGACTTGGAAGGCGCTGAACAGACTGCGCTCTGGCACCACGAGATGCAGAGCCAACCTTGAGAAATGGGGCTACAAAGTGGAATCCTTGACATGCGAGTGCGGAGAAGAACAAACCACTGACCACCTGCTGCAATGCACCCTGAGCCCTGCCACATGCACAATGGAGGACTTTCTTGCGGCAACACCAGAGGCACTCCAAGTGGCCAGATACTGGTCAAAGGACATTTAACCAACTACCAAGTTTGCAAAATCTGTGTTTATTTTCTTTTTCTTTTTAATCTGTGTGTTTGTTTTGTTCTGTTAGAATTGTAACACAATGGTATGGTTGCTGATGACACGATAAATAAATAAATCGCCCAGGATAAGAAGGACCGTGGCGAGTGCTTCTCCTGGGCACCCATTGACAAGTGGGCTACAGGCATCAGGACCCATTGCTGAGCTACCAGGGTGTGGGCCTGTAGGGCAACTGGAAGCAAAACAACTACAGAAGCGGCAGAAATTTTCAATGCCACAGAACCGAACTATCATGAATTATTTGAAACACAACAAAATGAAACCACAGCAAACAAGATCACTTCGCTGGCTGTTGTATTGGATCAGGCGGTGGCCGGGAGGGCCTTTGCACAATTAAGACTCGTGCGCCAACTGCGACCGTACCTCGTGAAGGCGGATCTGTCCAGGGTGGTCCATGTCTTAGTCACCTCCAGATTGGATTACTGCAATGCACTCTACGTGGGGCTACCCTTGAAAACGGCCGGGAAATTTCAATTGGTCCAACGAGTGGCAGCCAGGTTATTAATTGGTGCTCCTGTAGGGAGCGGTCAACCCTCCTGTTTAAGGAGCTCCATTGGCTGCCGTTCATTTTCCGGTCCCAATTCAAGAGGCAGGTTCTTACCTACAAAGCCCTAAACAGTTTGGGAACCTCCTACCTGCGTGACCGCATCACTGTGTACGAACCCACATGATCTCTTCGATCATCTGGAGAGGCCCTGCTCGCGCTCCCGCCTCATTGCAAGCGCGACTGGTGAGGACGAGGGACAGGGCCTTCTCGGTGGTGGCCCCTCGACTCTGGAACTCACTCCCCAGGGACATCAGACATGCCTCAACGCCGGCAGTCTTTAGGAGGAGCCTGAAAACGTGGTTGTTGCAGTGTGCCTTCCCAGAATAAGGAAACTCCCAGCAATATGTCCCTAAATGCACTTTTTAGTGATCTAGGATTGTCTACATGCTCTATCCCTCGCCAAAATTTTTATCCTGTTTATATGTCACCTGGTCATGCCCAGAATTATTTTTTTTAAATTTTAATTAGTACATTGGCCCTGCCATAGGCTTTTAAACATCGCCGTGTTATTGTTAATGTTTATTGCTATTTTCTGTTTATGAGTTTATTTATTGTCTGTATTAATATTGCTATTGTTTTTGTTGTTGTATCGTAGGCTCAGCCTCATGTAAGCCGCACCGAGTCCCTTGGGGAGATGGTAGCGGGGTACAAATAAATTATTATTATTATTATTATTATTATTATTATTATTATTATTATTATCACAAGTCGGACACTTCCCATGAACTGCTATTATAGATCAGAATATCTATAATAATAATAATCAGAATATCTATAATCTATAACCACAAAAACGTGGTTACCAAAAACGGATGTGCCAGCTATGGAAACTTGAATATCCAGATTCAACTGTAACTGAACAGAGGCTTGCTGACCAGAGGAGATACATCACTTTTGCCAGCTGCAAAAGGCCACCCTACTGGGATCTGCAAACATTATTCGCCAATACATCACACAGTCCTAGACACTTGGGAAGTGTCCGACGTGTGATCCAATACAACAGCCAGCAAAGTGATCTTATTTGCTGTGGACTCATCTTGTTGTGTTTCAAATCATCATCATCATCAGGAGAGGAGTGTTCCAGGGACACTCGTTGTTCAGAGGCGGCCCTAGGTAATTTTCAACAGTAAGCAAACAGTATTTTGCACCCCCCCCCCCCAACCAATCATTGATATATATTTTCTGTTTGTCGTGAGAGTTCTGTGTGCCATATTTGGTTCAATTCCATCATTGGTGGAGTTCAGAATGCTCTTTGATTGTAGGTGAACTATACATCCCAGTAACTACACTTGCCGCACTTGCTCCCTTGCCTGGCCCGCTTTGGGTCCGGAGGCGTGCCTGAAGACCCCGGCGTGTGCACCAAAAGTCACCTCTTCTCTGACTTTCTCCTCAGCCATTGGGACCGAGAGAGAGAGAGAGAGGTGGAGATGCCCACCTTTCCTGAAGGTAGGCGCAAAAACAAAGGAGGGAGCGGAGGTGGGAGATACCTCCAGCCGGAGGGGCTCTCTCTCTCTCTCTCTCTTGGTTCCAATGTCTGAAGAGAAAATCAGGAGAAGAGGCGACTTTTGGTGCGCATGCTGGGGTCTTCAGACACGCCTTCGGACCTGAAGCGGGCCAGGCACGGCGGCTCCGCCCCTTGGCCCACCCGCGGATTGGGGAGAGGAGAGGAGGCGGGTGGAGCGCCGGGGGATCGGGAAAGGGAGCCGGTCATGGGGAAGGGATAGAACACGGAGAACGATTGAGCGCCGGCTCTGCTCACATACTCGGTGCCCGGGTGGAGCAGGAACAAGAGGAGCTAGGTGAGGCTCAAGGGCCCGGCCCCTTTGGGAAGAGGATCACCCGGCAGTGAGGCAAGAAAGCCAAGGCTCTCCCCGGACTGCTAGGGCTGTTGTGAGCTGAGAGGGCGCTCCTGAAGTGGCAGTCGAGGGGCATTTACAAAGGTGCCTCTGCGCCCCTGGCAAAAAAAAGTGTTCTGCGACCGCTTACTTCGCGTAATGGACGAGCCGCCCCTGCTCGTTGTCCCCACTGCTTTTTATCGTTGCCATGATCCCTCTGTCAACAACCTTAAAAAAAAAAAAAAACCAAACCTGGGCTATCAAACATCTAAGAAATCTCACAAAATTTCACATCTGCTGTACATGGATGACCTGAAGCTGTATGGGAAAACCGAAACTGAAATCCAGTCTCTGACTAACACTGTCCAAATCTGGGATTGCAATAAATGGGGAAAAGGGACCTCCAAGGGTCATCTGGACTGACCAGGCTGGGATTGTAATGAAGGGGAAAGGAGATTCACCAGCAAGGCAGGGGTGTTGAGGAACTGTATTAAGGGCTCGTGGCATTAGGAAAGTTGAGAACCACTTATATAGACAGACAGATGTAGATAGATAGATAACCTGCTCACCTGGCCTTGACCCAATGCTGGCAGGATCTTGACTGCTTGGGCACCGCTCGGATCCGGCAACGGAGGCCACAGGGAGGCCTTGATCCTACAGAAAAAGCAGCATCAGCATACTTTATGATATTGCACCTCAATTATTATTATTATTATTATTATTATTATTATTATTATTGTATTATACAAAAAATCTCCCTTCATTCACCTCTTTTGGCTGAAGTGGAATCCGCCGGCTGCCATCAGGAAGGCTATGAAGATTCCCAAAGAGAGGAAACGCAAATCCAGCGCTTTGGGTTTGGAATCTGTAGAAAGAAAGGGAGAATAAACATAATAATATTGGAATAAACATAAACATAATAATAATAATAATAATAATAATAATAATAATAATAATATTGTAAAAAACAATTGAGCATGCTACCTGGGTGGGTGGTTGCAAAGGAGACGTGTGGCCAGCAGCCGCCCCCTTCCCCGCCCGTGGAGGCCCACACCCCTGCCAGGTAGGCTGTCTGCGGGTCCAGGTTCTGGAAGGTGAACTCCCTGCTGGAAGCACTGGTGTTGTAGTCTGGGGAAGAAATGATAATAATAATAATAATAATAATAATAATAATAATAATAAATATATGTAATAATAATATTGATGTTGACTCATTGGTACAAGGCAGCAATAATAATAATAATAATAATAATAATAATAATAATTTAATCTAGTACAAGCCAGTCAAAGTGGTCCCAGTGGTGATTGGCACACTGGGTGCAGTGCTTAAAGACCTTGGCCTGCACTTAAACACAACTGGCGCTAACAAAATTACCATCTGTCAGCTGCAAAAGGCCACCCTAATGGGATCTGCATGCATTATTTGCCGATACATCACACAGTCCTAGACACTTGGAAAGTATCCGAAGTGTGATCCAATACCACAGCCTGCATAGTGACCTTGATTGCTGTGTACTAATCTTGTTGTTTTGCAAATAATGATAATAATAAAGAATAATATTTAATAATAAGAATATATGAAGTAATAATGGAGCCCCCGGTGGCACAGTGGGTTAAAGCACTGAGCTGCTGAGCTTGTTGATCGAAAGGTCGCAGGTTCGATTCCGGGGAGCGGCGTGAGCTTCCGCTGTCAGCCCTAGCTTCTGCCAACCTAGCAATTCAAAAACATGCAAGTGTGAGTAGATCAATAGGTACCGCTCCGGCAGGAAGGTAACGGCGCTCCATGCAGTCATGCCGGCCACATGACCTTGGAGGTGTCTACAGACAATGTTGGCTCTTCGGCTTAGAAATGGAGATGAGCACCACACCCCAGAGCCAGACATGACTGGACTTAATGTCAGGGGACTACCTTTACCTTTATGAAGTAATAATAATATTATATTTAATAATAATAATAATAATAATTTATTTAATAATAATATTAACATTGGATCATTGCCATCAAGACAATAATAATAATAATAATAATAATAATAATAATAATAATAATAATGTAATAATAATATCAATGCTGGCTCATTGGCACAAAGGCAATTCTAATTTTAATAATAATAATAATATTAATAATAATAATAATATATTTAATAATAATATCAATGTTGGAGCATGGGTCATTCTAATATTGTTATTATTCATAATGCCGATGCAACCCACTCACAGGTGGTCTCTGTGTGGGCCTCCCCGACTTTCCGGCGGCAGAGGACGTACTTCTTTGTGGCCCCGGGGCAGGCAGACAGGGCAGGTGGGGGCTCCCACCGGACCCTAGCCCAGTCGGGCCCTACCTCCAGGTGAATAGACATTTCCAGGGCAGCTGTGGGGAAGAAAGACATTATTATTATTATTATTATTATTATTATTATTGACACAAATACACAGTATGACACAACAAACAATATCTATATGCTGGATTTCGTATCACAAAATCACAAGTCAAACACTTCCCAAGCGTTTAGGACTGTGTGATGTATTTTCAAATGATGCGCGCAGATCCAACTCGGATGGCCTTTTGCAGTTGACAAATCGTGATTTTGTCAGTTTATGGTTTCCAAATGCTGGCTGAGACCTTTCGGCACGGCACCCAGTGTGCCAATCACCACTGGGACCACCTGTACTAGTTTATGCCAGAGCCTTTGCAGTTCGATTTTGAGATCTTGATCATGGCTGAATTTTTTCCTGTTGTTTTTCTTCAATTCGACTATCACCTGGTATGGCAACATCAATAATCCAAACTTTTTTCTTTTCCACAATTGTGATGTCTGGTGTATTGTGTTCCAAAACTTTTGTCAGTTTGGATTTGAAAGTCCCGCAGTATTTTTGCATGTTCATTTTCCACGACCTTTGCAGGTTTATGATCCCACCAATTCTTTACTACTGGTAGGTGGTAATTGTGACATAAGTTCGAATGAATCCTTTGGGCCACAGAGTTGTGCCTCTGTTTGTAGTCCGTCTGTGCGATTTTCTTGCAGCAGCTGAGGATGTAATCCATGGTTTCATCAGCTTCCTTGCACAGCCTGCATTTTGGGTCATCAGCTGATTTTCTAATCCTGGCCTTAATGGCATTGGTTCTGATGGCTTGCTCCTGGGCTGCAAGAATCAGGCCTTCTGTCTCCTTCTTTGGGGTTCCATTCGTGAGCCATCACCAGGTCTTCTCCTTATCCACTTTTCCTTCAATCTTCTCAAGGAACTGTCCGTGTAAGGCTTTGTTGCGCCAGCTGTCAGCTCTGGTTTGGAGTGCAATTTTCTTGAACTGATTCTTTGTCTGCTGTGCTTTGAGAAGTTTCCAATTATTGACTTCAATCAAAGCAGGTTCTTGGCTTTCCTTGACATATTCTACCAGGGTGTGTTTTTCTTCTTCAACTGCTTGTTTGACTTATAAAAGTCCTCCTCCTCCTCCTCCTGTCGTCGAGGGCATCCCAGGCCCCTGCCTTCAAGCTGGTGTGACCAACTGCAAGGAGTTCCACAATTCCTCGATGCAAAATTGGGCCAAACTGATGAAATGTGCCCCAACAGCAAGCTCAACCAGGGACTCTACACAGCCATGTGCTCTCTCCTTTCACTTCCCTGCTAAGCCCCAACTATGTAACAAATCCCCCAATAAAGATTACTGAAATTGCAACTTTTAACTCTCTAGCTTGTTACTTTGTGTCCTTTCCTTGGCTAAAACTATCTAAATGCATGAAACTAACCTTTTCCAGGCGTTCTGGGGAGGCTGAATCTGTGCTCCTCCAAACCGCGGATACGGAAACCCCTAGGGTCCCCCATATCCGCGAGATGGCGGATCGCCTCCATTTTGGTGGCATTTTTTCCTAGCTTAATTCCAACACCATCTGCTATCTCGCTTTTGAAACTTCTAAACCTGTAAACCCTATAAAAATGTCTCTGATCTCTGTAACCACATGCTCTGTAGGCGAATGATTGCTACATTGCATCCTTTTCAGCTGAATCGCTAAAAAAACACCTCAGTGCCACTTCTTCAACTTTGGTGAGATTTCTTTTGGATTTTTAAAGAAAATAAAATTGCTGAAATCAGGCTTCTCTGAGCTCGCCAAAGTAGCGATCACTCTTTGGTGGGGTCCCAGCAGGGCCGTAGCCAGAAAAAAATTTCGGGAGGGGTTGAAATTTTCAGGGGAGGGGGATTTGAAAATTTGGGGGGGGGGGGTTGAAACCTGCCTCCTAGCTCATGCTGAAGCAAAGAGCACAGCAGGGGGCAGAGCAGCCTTCAATAGCCTGCAGCTCCGCCCTGTCAACCACCTCCACCAAGTCTGGCCTCCTTAATGAGAGCATTCAACCCCCACCCCCAACTTGGTTGCTTCGCTACTGTTCTGTCGCACGCTGGGCCTGTAAATAATTGTCTTTAGAACAGGATGTGCAACCTTTGCCCAGCAGGAAGCCAGGGGGCCTAAAGAGAAGTTCTCAGAGGTTTCCACCACAAACAGTCTTTAGATGGCTTGAGAAGTACAACAAAGTCTTTTATTAATGAACAATCAAACAGAAACTTCTCTTGTCTTCAGTAAAGTTAAGCAAATGATTCCAAGCTTTTAGGCAACTGGTGAATTCCTTATCTTGCCCACGAAGGACAGGCAACTGTCTTCAATAACTTTTTCTTTAAAGGAAAATCCCCTTTTTAACTTCTCCCAGGCTGACTGTAATCTAACCCTTACTGATGTGGGCTCCGCTACCGGGTCGAACTGCGTCTCGAACACCGAGTGGACCTACCAGCAAGGCAGTAGATGTTCTCCAGCTGGAGTTCTTTGGTCTTTAGGGCTGTTTTCCTGGAAATTCTTTGGAGACTCTTAAGACCTTTCTCCCCCGGAAGGTCTTAAGGGTTGAAGCTTTTGTACAGGGGAAGCTTGCACACATCCTATACATAAGCTTACCTTGCTGAGACTAACTAAAATGGCTCCCTTCCCTTCCCAATTGCCCTGAGCAAGGGGCAGAACCAAACTTAACCATGGACAGGTGGCTTGCCCTATGACTGCAACCAAAGAAGCCACCTATCTGCAGAGCCCCTGAAGCCTAGGACTGCAAGCAAACATTTAATACAAAGCAAATAAAGTTGGAGCTCCTGGTACAGCTGTACCAGAACAACTACATCGGCTATTGCTGCAAGTAAGGACAGTGTGAATAAATTGCTAATATTTGCTTGAGATAGTGCTTGCAGTTCTGGAGGGACTCTTGATTTTTTGCATCTCTTAGACTTAGCATGGGGATTGGGTTAACCAGTTAAAATTCATGAGTAAACCAGGTTTTTTTAAAAAAATCTGAAACATTTCGGGGGGGGGGGGTTGAACCCCTAAACCCCCCCCCCCTCGCTACGGGCCTGGGTCCCAGGGTCTCTCCTTCTGGGGCAGACCCTCCTAAAGTTCCTATTGACTTCACTCCTTCTATAAAGCCACCCATTAACTGTAGTCATTTTGCACCTTCTTTTCGTTGTTCTTGTTGTTGTTGTTATTAATCAAATCACTGGAAAGTTTTACAAGTTTGGCCAACCAAAACTTACTGTTGCCATAGAAAACATGGACAGACCCGAAGGTGGACCAGTGGCTGGTGTCTTCTGCCATGCCATGGACAGCCAGGCGGTAACACTGGTTGGGCTTCAACATCCCTGCAAAGTAGAAGGGAAGGAGAAGCTGAGAGCGTGCGCGTCTCGCCAGGGAGTTCCCATGGCTGAGCAACTCTATGAGCATTATTGAATCTGGATGGCCAAGTGTTGAGGGTGCTTTGATTGTGCTTTTCCTGCATGAAGTCAGAAGGAGGTCGCACTAGATGACCTTTAGGAGTCTCTTCCTACTCAATTTGTTATTAATGCTATTACATTCAGACAACAATAACAAATAAAATTATAATTTATATCAATATAATAATATTAATATAATAATTATATTAATTGTTATTATTATTATTATATTAATAATATTATTGAGGCTGTGTGGTCATCTGATCAATACTATATCTATCTACCTATCTACCTACCTACCTACCTACCTACCTATCTATCTATCTATCTCTATCTATATCTTCTATATTCCTTTCTTATATATATATATATATATATATATATATATATATATATATATATATATAAATGCTCTGTGCATAATGAGTACCTTAAAAACAAAAGAACCAATGAACGAAATCACACCAAATTTGGCAACAAAACATCTCACTACACAAGGAGTGACCATCACTCAAAAAATTGTGATTTTGTCATTTGGGAGTTGTAGTTGCTGGGATTTATAGTTCACCTATAACCAAAGAGCTGAACTCCACCAACGATGGAATTGAACCAAACTTGGCACACAGGACTCCCATGACCAACAGGAAATACTAGCAGCATTTAGGGGGCATTGACCTTGAGTTTGGGAGTCATAGTTCACCTACATCCAGAGAGCACTGTGCACTCAAACAATGATGGATCTGGACCAAACTTGGCATGAATATTCCATATGCCCAAATATGAACACAAATAGAGTTTGGAGGAAATAGACCTTGGCATTTGGGAGTTGTAGTTACTGGGATTTATAGTTCATCTACAATCAAAGACTATTCTGAATGAACCCTATGAATGACAGAACTGAATGACAAGCTTCCCACACAGAACCCCCATGACCAACAGAAAATACACCCAGTTCAACTCCCTTCACCAGGGCAAGAAAACATAATCAAAGCCATTCTGACAGAGAGCCATTCAGCCATATAGATAGATAGATAGATAGATAGATAGATAGATAGATAGATAGATATGATTCACATACACACAGATAAAGTATTATAGATTTGAAAGGGACTCCTAAAGATGGACAATTATATGTTGCATGTTCCAGAGTAGGCAAACCAGACAATCTCTACGTCAACACTGTCAAAGAAACATCAAGAAATACTGTTTACCCACAAGCATAAAGACATTATATATATTAGAAACCAGCACTTTCTAATTACTTTATTTTCCATATCACCAGACTGGGCCACAGCAATGCGTGGCAGGGAACCGCTAGTACATAATAAAAGTGAAAATATGTATGTGTGTATGTGGCAGGGGTGTCCACATACACAGACAACCCCTGGCCTCCACAAACAGCTATAGTGGGTTGTTGTAGGTTTTTTCGGGCTATATGGCCATGTTCTAGAGGCATTCTCTCCTGACGTTTTGCCTGCATCTATGGCAAGCATCCTCAGAGTTAGTGAGGTCTGTTGGAACTAGGAAAAAGGGGTTTATATATCTGTGGAATGACCAGGGTGGGACAAAGGACTTTTGTCTGCTGGAGCTAGGTGTGAATGTTTCAACTGACCACCTTGATTA